ATTGACCAATCGAGTTGAAAAATATGAATATTACTTACTCGGAACTTAAATTAATATTAGGATCTAATTAAAAGATAAAAAGATTTTAATTTGAAAAGTGCCTAAGAAAAGAGGAATGAAAAACCACAAATTGTGGCACAAGCGTTGCTCGAATAAACGTTTAACAATGCTATTGTGCTGTACTTGCCTAATTGTTGAATTGTGTAAAAAATATAATATTGGGTTGGATTTCTTTCTTCGCAGATTTTAAGTGTCGGACGCTTCTAATTCAATACCAAATCACGATTCGCTTTGTCTTCGATTTAACAACAATAAATTATTTCAGTTTGTGTGTTTGTCTTTACGTTTTAAATAACGGTAGCTATGCATACACATAAATTTAACATGTGACATAAAGTAAGTGTAAATTAAAAATACTCAAAGTTAATTTAATTGAAGTTGATCTATACATACATACATATATATATTTTTATGAAAATTTTAACGTGTGCTTGACGATAATTTGGCGAGTGTAGAAATCGTATTCTGAAAACCACCACATACGGGAATAATCGAACGTTAAACGATGTCGCTGAACAAGGAATTCCATTCCGATGTTAAAATATAAAAACATCAAATATTTCAAGATAGTTTTTTAATAAGTAAGTAGGTTCTAACCTTATTTAATCAAAATACCTACTTAACCTTCATTTAAGATATATTCAAGTTTCAATGATAATTTGCATATTTTAATACACCCAAACCTTAATGAATCAATAAGTATAAATAATTATACAAACAAAGAAAAAGAAAGTAACTAGACATTTTTTTTATTTCCTTTCATAACAACTAATTTGCAACCTATCTACAAACAAACTTACCTATCCCAATTTTTTAATAAAACAACTTAGAGAATATTGAATACTTAAATGAAAAGCATAATATAAAAGAAAAAGGCAAAAATTGAAAGAAGACAAATAAGTAGGTAAGTATACTTTTATAGAAAAAGCAATGATAATTAATTTTTTATTATTTATTTATCCATTAGCATCACCTCTCTGTACATATATAAACAAACATACAAATGTACGTATATACATCTACCCGATTATCATTTCTTTCTTCATTAATAGATTTTATCTACTTAAATCCTTATGTTTGTTTGTGGATATTTTACATACACATCTATTTGTCTCAATTTTAATTTTCAATTCCATTATTAATTTTAATTAATAATTGAATACCAAATACATTTTGCAAACCACTGAATTGATGACGAGATCCACACAATATTACAAAGTTTTCAATGGCCTATTAGATTTGACTGAATACGTTACATGCATAAGTGTGCAGCTTCTAATTTTATTGAGTAATTTAAGTAAGTATGAAATTTCGGAAAGACGAATTATATTATACAAAGTAGATGAATGATGATAGTGTTATTACACTTGTAAAATATCTAATTTCGAAGAGAATAATAATAATAAGAAGCAATCATTCACTTAAATTTAAAAAAAATATATGAATAACAAAAAAAAATTATTGTTGAAATTTTTTAGAATTAATCTGACTGAAATATTTCAACAAAGAAGAATTGAGTGGGCATTAACCACCACAAACCAATACATACTTCTCAATAATTTCTCATAAATTGAGGTAAATAACATTTTTCTGATTGTCGACTTATAAAAAATTTTCACACTTTTGTTTTTTATCATTTATTTTACTTTTCTCTCGTTTTTCTGTTGTTTTTGTTTTTTAGTCAATTATATCAATGTCGATGAGCCGATATCGGACAAATTGCAATACACACCGCTAGGTGAGTTGAATACGCATACTTGAGCATGTATGTATGTACGCATTTAATGTACAAACATATTACATATAATTTCTTTCTTATTTCATACATATTATAATTTGATAGCTTCGCATTTTTTAATTTAAAAAGGATTGTTTAATAAAACAAATAAAATGTAATTGAACTAAGTACACACATACATACACAGTACAATATACTCAATTATATAATATTAATTATATAAATATATAATTAAAATGTAACTGAATAATTCAATTCTTACTAAATAAAATATAAAAACATAATAAAATTCAGTAAGTATGTATGTATGTATAATTGTTAAAATTTTTATTATTTTATATTCATGTTTACATGTAATCATTCTTAATATTTTTATTTCTCTTCAAGTATTGAATACTCGTAAACATATCCAAACATGTAGATGCCAACTAAGTAACTGTAATAAGTATGTACATTCATAAATACATATGTACATATATAGAAAAAAAATTAATTTTTAATAGGTAAGTCCCAATAAGAATTTTTATTTTTTTGTTTGCTCTCATTATCTTTTTTTTTTAGCTTATTTTTTTTATGAAATTCCAAAGTAAATCATAAAATATGTATGTATGTACGTTGATTTTTTAATATTAATTTTTCTTTTTATTTTTCTGAATTATGAAATATTTTATATAATAAGTAAGTATAGGTTTGAATTTATTAAATATATTAAAAAATGTGTGTATACATATATATTTTATTACTTACGGATAATAAAAGAAGAGAAATGTTGTCGATAAGAGAAGGGCCCAGGCGAATGTCGCGGGAATGTATCGTGTTTTGACATCGCATTTCGGCATTTCTCACTACAAAATTTATTATGGATTCAAAGTAATCCTGGCCCTCAATTGTGGCCACAATATTTTTTTTAATATTATCACTTTTTTTATATTTTTAATATATATATGTATATATATAATTATATATATAATACGGATATATAGAAATATATTTTTATTAATTTAAAAGCAATTTCTTTTTTTTTGCTCTTGCATATATTTTTCACTTTTTTTCCCCAAACTTTATTAAAAATTCACATTAAGGATTTTTAATTTTTTTTTTTTTTTGGAAAAAAAAACTTATTTTTTATTCTTATTATATTTTTTTTATTTAAATACAATTATATTATATTCCTTTTTAACTAAGGCTAATCATGGATTAGATTAGTATACTTATATTATACTTTTTTTATAATAAAAAAAATCCAAGTGGTTTGTCTCTTTTTTTGTTTTCTCCCTGCCCAAATCATGAAAAAAAAAATTCTTTCTTTTCTTTTCACAATCGTACTTGTATATTGGTGGTGCTGCACATTTTTATGGATTTTAACCTTGATTTTTTATGAAATTTACACATTTATTTTAAATTTTTTTATATAATTTTCATAAAATAAATGAATTTAATTAAATTTAAGAACTTTAAAACGCACAAATTTCACTTTAATTTTTCTACTTTTGAGCATTTCTTTTTTTTTTCTTCCTTTTTTTGAAATTCGATTAAATTTCAATACAATTTTAATCCACACGATCCGACTCTCCAAAAGTTACTGTCAGTTCTATAATGAAATTCTCCAATTCGAATAGGTTTTCTTTTTGCCGAATTGTACTAAAATATGACATATTTTTTTATAGGTGTCGCAATGATAGGTTTTTGGAAAGAAAATTTTGTAATAAAAAAATTAACCAAAATGTACATGTATTTGAGGACATGTAAAATAATAAAATTGTCTACGAGCCAAAAATATGTATTATTAAAACTTGAAAAATTTGCTAAAAAAAGGTCCAGAAAATTAAAGCTCTAAAAAAACTAGCAATTTTAAATGAATCCTAAACTTCTCCTATTTAGGTTTTTTATATTTATTTTATTCGATCGATCTCAATCGAATAATAGAATTTTAAATGTCAAAAATGCATATGTCACTTAAATTTTCTTTGTATAATATTGTCAATCCTTTCTAGTTAGGTGTATCTGCTCAAATTTGTCAATCAAACCATCGCCTATATTAGTTTTACAAACATGTTTTTTGTTTACAAATTTAATGTGAAACTATTACCAAAAACAACATTTCTGTATCTTCCACTTATATTTTTATGCTCTTAGTTTAAATTTTACTTCTAAAATGGTAAAAAACATATTATATATATGAAATTTTTGTAAATATGATTTCATGAAAAATATTTCCTGTACAAATTAATTTTGACAACTAAGATAATCGGCTCTAAATTGTAACTTTTCTTACCCTTTTTTCCTTAATTTCATCTTTTTATTTCAAATTTTTTGCAAAATGAAATAAACGGACAGCTTTATAGTAATCAAATTTCCGTAAGGAAGTCATAATCTTAGATTAAAGAACTGATATTTAAAACTTAGCGATTATATTAATTTTCGACATAGTCATAGGTTAGACAATCTATTACTTTTAGTTAAAACTGACATCTCATTTTAGAGGTCTTTATATTTCGTCATTAGATTATCAAAGCAATTTTATTCGTTAAAAATAAGTTGAAGAATATGAGTTACTTTCAATTTTGATAGATAGTGTATGAAATCAATTCCGTCTCAAAATTTTAAACTTTTATATTTGTGAAATCAACTGTAACTTAAATGTAATAGTATGTTTTACTATTTTTACTGTTACTACATTAATTTTATAAGTTTCGGAATAATTTGTCCTCGTTGCCAAAAATGTCATACTTTTTGCAAAAAATAATCACATCAAATTTGCATTACTTTTCCGAATTGCATTATGCGATAATTGTAATGTTACCTGGTGTTTAGTACACATACATGGTATAACATGTTGATCAACTTGGTTGAGTCGCATATAAAGCTGACTTGTTTATGTGTGAATAGGTTGTTCAATTAATGTACGGATTCCTCAATGCTCAATTCTTGTTTTCAGTTTTCCGGTAAAATATTTTGAATGAATTTAATAAAAAAAATAAATATTTAATAGATATTTTATTTATTTTTTTGAACTATTTAACCATAAACAAATCGCTAGCGATAAATCCTGTACGAAATACGTGTTATGACATTCTTCTTAATCCGCTATTGTTAATCAATTGACACTAGTTTTCATTTTAAAAATTTACAATGGCAGCTTTGAACTTAACCGAACTGAAAAAATCTCCAAAAAATGACCGAAGAGGAACGCCATATTTCTGTTTACAAGAAAAGTCATTTAAAACTAGCCAAAAAGGAAAATTGTGCATTTCGTTATATTTCATTTTTAAATTTTTAATAATTTTAAATTAAAATTTAGTGTTAAACAAGTAAATTATATAAAAATGTCAAGATCTCTAAGAGCTGAAACTAGATCAAGAAATTCTGATATTAAACGAGGAACAGTTCGATCTGATTTAAAAGTACGAAAATGGTAAGTTAAAAAAAAAAAAATTGTACACAAAAAAAAATGCCACAACTTTTAAATTTTTTTAAAATCATATGGTACCGACAGAATAATAAATGGCATGAGAAATAAACTAACAATATGTAGGAATTAATTTTTTTGAAATGTTTGTCTTCAATTTTCACAAAATCTAAAATAATTTTTTAATATTTTAGGGAAAAAAAATGGGTGACGATTGGTGATACAACTATGAAAATTTTTAAATGGGTTCCAATATCAAATAGTGAAAAAAAGAAAAATATTACAAGTAAAAGTGATAAAGAAAATGTGCAAAAAGAAACATCACAATTATCATCAAATTTCGGAACTGAAGATTCAAATACTTGTGAGTCGAAAAATACAGAGTGAAATGTTTGATCATTATGAAATAACTAAAAAAGAAAAAAAAAAGTATTTGGTCATATGTAGGTATAAAAAAATGCGTTAAATATGGCGAATCAAACTTTGAAAATTAAGTGAATGCAAGTTATTAATTAAAAATAATATTGAATATATTTTGATTTCAATAATGCATTTTAATTAGAAAATTTAATTCAATTTTTTGCTAAAATATATAAAAATTTTTGAGCCGGTAATAAAAAATTGCTACGTATATTCCCGGTGAAATCAAAACTTGTAGGTACATTACCTACCTACATACTTTCGAAAACTATTACATAACTTTTAAACCGAAATCTGATATATTTGCCAATAATATTCATTCTAAATTTTGTCATGTGATTATAAAATTATTACGGGTTATAATTCAAAATTTTTGTAAATTATATGATTTAGGACCAAAATTTTTTTAAATTATTACCTATTGCTATTCAATTCTTATTTAATAAATTTGAGCAGATACACCTAACTAGAAAGGTATGTACCAACAACAAAAAAAAACTCAGCACATCCATTATGGTCAGTGGTCAAGTCATTATGGTATCGAAGAAGTAAATTAATAATGGAATAAATAAAATCAATTGAATAATATAGATTTTTATCTGAATGTCTTAAAAATGATTGTTCATACATTTGTATATTTTATATGGCCAAATCCTTTTTTATATAACAAGGGAAAATACTTAAAAAAAAAACTAATTAATTATAAAATTCATATTTAATTTTAGGTTTTTCAATGGTTAGTGATTCTCAAGGTGCAACAGATTTTGTTTCGAGTATGCCATTTTCAGAAGATTCCAACTCTCAAGGTAGCGAAGGACCTAAAAATGTTTAAAAATAAATTTATAAATTAAAAACAATTTTTGCTTTCTTAACTTTACATTATATATACATTTATGTTGTATATTTTATTTAAATGAATTCATTTTTGTTTTTTTTTTTTAAATGTTTTTAATAATTTATAATTATACCAATAGGACCTCTTTAAGTAAATTTTATTTTACTATAATATAGTAGGTATAATGTTTTTTTTTTCAATAAAATTAAATATATTTTGAATAATTCATAATTTTATTGTAAATAAAATATTAAAACAAATAATAAAGCTCGAAACTTAAAAATTTAAATTAAGAATATTCAGAATGTTTGGAAAATTCGTCTGTGTATACCCAATTTTAAAGTCTTAAAGAGTCAAAATAATAGAAGAATAAAACAAAACATAATTTATATAAATTTTATAAATAAAATATTACTTCTATAAAATATAATTGTGTAAGATAAACTTTATATAAATAAATACAACTTTTATTTCTGTAAACTAGCGAAATAATGCTAAAAAAAAATTGAGCAAAACACTTAAATATAAATTATAAATAGAAAAGAAATTTGTTAACTGAAATAAATTGAAATATTACTATAAATTTATTAAAATAATCTAAAAATACAAAAAGAATAAATAAAAAAGTACATGAAAATATTTTCAATATTTAAATTTATTTATAATTTTCTTTTTTCATATTAAATGACAAATATGCAAACTCTTTTTATTTTCGATATCAGAAAACAACTATGCAAGAAAGATGAGGAATTTTGAAATTTTTGAAAAATTAATTTAAGCGGGACTGTAGAATATTATTTTAGGCTTTAAGATAAAAGTTTGTATAAAGCAATTATTTTTATTTAAGTTTTTTTTTTTTTTAATTTTATTTTTCTCGTTTTTAAGAAATTATTTTTATAAAAGAAAAGAATATTGTTCGAAAATAACAAAATAGATAACTACAAAATTATAAAAATATATTGATCACCAATTATTAGTGTATTACTTGATGAATTTAAAAAAAAACAAAATAAAATTAATTGTTTTTTTTTTAAATTCATCAAATAATTTATTAATTCTTGTACACAATCAATTTATGTATTTAAAAATAAAAAAGAAATATAAAATAGTTACATGTATTATGTAAATTTTTCGATCGTAATTATTATTATAAACAACTAAAAACAGAAATTTAAAATAAAACCAAAATAAAAATTCTTTAATTATATTTTCGAAATTAAAAATTTATTAATTATTTATTTCATAATTTAGTTTCTTCTTTAAATTTAATAAGATGTTCATTGAAACTATGACAAATTGAATTTGATTTATTTATATTATTCTTTGAAATACTGCTGGTTTGTATAAAATTTTCTACAGCTTTAAGGAAGAATTTTAGAAACCTAAAACATTATAAGAATATTATTATATAATTTATTAAGATGTTAAAATTAAAAAATCTGATTAAAATCTTACTTATTAATTGTATGAAAATAATTTTCAATCCATCCAAAATTTTCATCATTGTGTAATTTGAAAAATATCGCAGCAATTGATTCAATCATTGTGGATAGCGAAAATTGAATATTAGGATAAATTTCAATCATATTTTGTACAGTTTTCCTTTCTCTTGATCTTAATTGCTTATCATTTAAAAGTTTAAATTTAATTTCATATGATTCTAATAAATTTTTACAAACAATTTGAATACACTGAATTGTTCTATTTAAAAAACCAATTATAATTTTTTCATTTGAATGGCGTTTAAATATTTTCAAATTAAAATTTCCAATTAACTTATTAGTACATTGTGTAATTTCATTATTGCATGTAAAATACTTAGTTAAATAAGGATGATTTTGAAATTCTTTTAATTTTACAAAATAATCTACTGTATTTTTAAAATTATTTTTAAAAATTGCATTAATATGAAAACAAATTTCATAATTTTCAATAAAATTTTCAAAAATCTTATTATGATTACCAAGTAAAAGTAGACCGAATGTTAAAATTACTACAGATGAATTTTTATCTATATAATTAAGATCAATTTCTCCATGACTAATTTTATCGCGTATTCTAGGCCCATTTGGACTTATAAATAAATCATATGCTAATTTTAAAATATTTTCATTAAATTTTTCAGTGTATAATTTGTTTTCAATTGAAGTGTTCGGAACTTTATGCTCAAATATTGAATCCATTGTAATATAATATTCATTAATCTTTGCTGATACATCATAATCATTTAATTCGAAATAAATTAATCGAAATGTTAGCTCAATTTGTGGCAATAGCAAAATTATAAATTTTTTATAATTATTTTCTAAATAATATTTGTACAAAGTTTTCCAATAAATTTCATGAGGTTTCGGGCAATATTTAGAACTTTCTATACATTCAAAAAACGAATTTTTATCTTTTATTTCGTTGTCTAAATTTGAAATTTGGATATCGCTTATATAATTAAAATATTTTTCGATATTTTTGATTTTCGTTCTATGAATTATTTTAATTGGTTTTTCTTTATAAATTTCTGATAAGCTTATCATTGTTACTAATATTGTTTCAAAGAAATATTCGGGAATTTCTTTAGGGCCGGGAAAACCATGCCACAAAATATTTCGTAGGTTAATAGAATTTGGAGTACCCAGAATTAATTGCAAAAAATAAATCTAAAAATAAATAAAGTATGTAAGCACATTAGTAATATACATATGTATATAAATTCGTATTTAAGGCAGGAAGACATGAACCATTCTACTTTGACCTCATAAAATTGAAAAGTAGAAATTGTAAATTTTTTGAGGGTGAAGGTATATCTTACCGGGAAACTTCCAAAATATTCGTTAATCTCACTTGTTTTCAAAAGATCCTTAAGAAGATGCGGCGGAATTTTTTGGGTCAAAGTAAAGTACACATTTCCCATAGCGTTTTCTAAAATGGAAGTCAACAGTAACAATCCTTCAAAAACTCTTGTATCTGATTCCAAATCTATGATATCAAGTATATTACATCCATCAGATTTCCAAATTACGCATTCATTAAACCGTTGTAATAAACTGGTTCGATTATAATTTGTTTGGCATTGTTTCCAAATTGGATGTAGTAATTTACTGCATTGTAAACAGTAGTCATAACTAAAATTATCTACAAAATTCTAATATTTACTTACTCTTACAGATTATATTTACCTATATTTATGTTTATATGATTTGCTATCAAATATTTTTCAATATTTTTCCAATTAAATAAATTTTCTTTAAAAAATTCCTCCAAATGTAATGCTGATTCATTTTCTTTTAAACTTTTGTCTGATAAAAGTTCATGAACTTCTTGACTAATTAGAGAAAATTTATCTGATTTAACACGTAAGTCCATATATGCATATATTGTTCTTTATAAATTTTTAGGTATAAAATTATAAAGTTTTTAATATAAAAACTTGTAAAAGCAAGAGGTAAGGCAAAATTGATTGATTGAAGCTAGAACGAATGAATGAAAATATAAACAATGTGAATAACAAAAACAAAAGCATAACAAATTTCTCCATATTGTCATATGTATGTGTCAAAAATGTAAGCATGGGTTGCTGACAATAATAAAATGTAATAGATATTTGAACGTAAATTACAAACAAGTGGAATTTTGAGTAAAATTCTTAGTACTAAACACATCTCATAGATGGCTCTTAATGAAAATCAAAATTGATACAAATTTTATTTTATTAACACAACATAGGTTGTGAGATCAACTTAAATTGTTCTTTTTAGTTTTCACCACTGATGCATTTTTTTTTTCATTTCAAATTTGTCATTTCTATCCTATTTTCTACTTTTCCAGTTAATTATTAATTTTATTTAAATATTTTAATTTTTTATTTTTTTTTTTTATAGTATCTTTTTATAGCATGCAAATTCTGGTTCATGTGTTTAATCATTAGGATCTCTCTAGGTTCTCACATGGCTAATTATCAACTTCTGAAAACAACGAATAATTTAGAAGTATTCCCATGAGCAATAGCCTAAAATATCATATTGAGGGTTTTCAAAGTCTAGATAAAATTGGGAATGGAAATCTAGATAAAATGTGCCTACAATTGATAATGCAAAACTTTAAAAACCGCACGATTTAATCTTTACATGGAGTTCAAAGCCCTGCAATTCTAACATTAAGCCATTAAATTATTGATGAATTTTACTTTCAATTATGTGAATCAGTGTTTTGTAGAGTTTTGAATCTTAGCCATATTGCACCAACAACTTTTTACATTTTAAATCAGTTAATGAAATTTGCAAAATTCCTTAAGCAGTAATAATTAAAAGATTAATGAACTATACTAATAAAAAAAGTACTTTTCTTCTAAAGAGCTTAAAAGTAAAAGTGGTTTGTGCAATAGGACCCTTTTAATAGGGCAATAGGGTTTACATTTATTTATATTACATCACTTTAATATTAAGCCGATTTTATGGAATAGCCGAAAACAATCCAAATCTTTTCAAATTCTTTTCAGATCATAATTGATAATTTTATAATCATATTTGAAGCAAAGACATTTACATATAGAAACGAGGATGTAAACTCTCCTGCAAACAGTTTTACTAAGAAATAGAGGCTAAAAATTCTAATCGACTTTATTAAATAAAACTTTTCCGGCCAATGCTCAACAAAGTAAAACTAGACTCCAATAATTTGTATCCAGAAGTTTGCATGAGAGCTGACATTTATCAGCTTATGATGTAGTATATATTTTTTTTATTCGAGATTGTAATAACCTATTGGTCTAATTTTTAATATTACAGTAATTGGTTATTACAATTTTTGTAAAGTTAGATGGAATAAGAACTGATTCGAAATTCTCTTTTTTATTTAATATATATTTTTTTTTTTATTTAATTTTAACATATCAATATTTTTGTAATAATATTTATCCACAATAATATGTATATACTAAATGAATAATAATTTTATAATATTAATTTAAAAAAAAAAACGAAATCTATTTAATTGAATATCATTTCATTAATTATTCATTAAAGCTTAATTATTAACTATTATAATCGCCTTTTCATTTTGCAAAAAAAAAAAAATTAAAGAAATTTTAAATAAAAATTAATATTATTAGTGCGCGAATTTTTTTCTTTTTTTTTTTGTTAATTCAGCAGATTTTTATTTCAAATTTGTTTTCTTATTATTTCAATATAAAAATTTACATATTTTCATTTTTTAATTTCTTTATTTTATTAAAATTTAATTAAAAAATTATTGTCTTCATTTTACATAAAATAATCATTTTCGAACAAACAAATTTGATATTTTCTGTGGAGCAGGATGTAAAAACAGCTTGGTTTTGGAGGGAAAGGGGGCAATATTCAAATTGATAAGAGAAAACAAATTAATTTATTAAATGCTTAATTTATATAAAAAAGGCATTTTTATATAAAATGATGATATAAATTAATAATTTTCATGGGTACATCAATAATTTTAATAAGTTTTATAGTTTTATTTTGTGAAATTTTATTTTACAAAAATACAATTAAAATTTATTTATCAAAAATTTTTGTATTCAAAGATTTTACAATATTGAACATTTCTTTTTTGAACATTATTATTGGTCTGTATCAATAATATTACATTTATTATAATAATTGAATGATTTTTAAAATATTTAATTTATGAAAATGAATAGAAACTAATTCATATCATCATGTATGTTAAACCCTTTAAAAAATTATTAAATTTTGAATAAATCGCTTTAAAAATTAATCAATTTTTTTTTATTCATTAACAAAAAATCTAAATTTAAAATTAAAATATTTTATACACGTTCTTATATTTTTAAAAATTTTAACTAATGAATTTATTAATTTATATAATTATGAGAAATTCCATTTTCTCTTTTTTTTTTTTTTCAAATTCATTTAAAATTTAACGCGATAATTTTACATTTAGAATTCAATTAAATTTATTATTATGTACTAAATAGCCAATAGGATGTATGAAAATAATTAATAAGAAAAAAAAAAAACAATTTAAACAAGGGAACTATCAATTTATTTGTATTTATTCATAAATGCTACGTGGAATTCTCTGAATTTCTCCAACATTATTTTTAATTTGTCTGTTTGTGGAAGGATCGTTGTTCGAAAATGATATGTTCCGGGTTTTTGACCGAATCCACTACCAGGTACAATGCAAATACCTAAAAATAAAATTAAAATTTAATTTATTATTAAAATTAAATTGTCTATATATTTTACTTGGTATTTAGATTTTAAACTTACCGCTTGTTTCTAATAATTCAAAAGCATAAAATGTATCGGCTGGTTTACCAGCTTTTTTAGCTGCTTCAATAGCTTTTGGTGGTATTTTAATTTGTGGGAATGCATACATTGCACCTTGTACTGGATTACAACTGAAACCTTCAAAGGAATTAAAAGTCTTGTGTATTAATTCAGCACGTTCTTTTAATGAGCCTAAAACATGTGTCTTCTCTTTAATAAATTGTTCATAGGATGGTTCACCTTCTCTGGGTGGATTAACCTAAAAAAGTTTTTATTAAATTTAATATAATAAATATAAATTTCTTTAATAACTCACCAATACACTGCAAGCAACTTGACCAGCTGTTGTTGGACACAATGATGCTGAAATTGATTTTAATAACATTTTTTTAACTTCTGGGCAAACATTTAATATTTCCATATAACCGCCACGTATACCACATTCACCTAAATAACCTTTTGATGTTGACATAAAACTAGCTAATTCCATTTGATTATAAGGTGCACCCATTTCTGACATAACTTTTTTAAATGAAAAGAATTTTGAATCTTTATCATATATATTATCCTGATATACTTCATCAGCAAACAAAAATAATTTATGTTTATGAGCAAATTTAATAATTGATTCAATATTTTCACGTGTCAATACTTGACCAGTTGGATTTCCTGGATTAATAATACATAGAGCACGTACATTACTTGTTTTATTACCCTCTTTTAATGCACGTTCTAATTCATCAGTATTTAATGCCCAATTATTTGATTCATCTAACATATAATTAACTTGTGTCATGCCATATTCAGCTAATGTTGCCGAATATAATGGATATTGTGGTATAGGAATCATAACACCTGGTTTTTTACCATTCACTTCACAGCTAAAATATAGAATTATATGTAAATGGTTTAAGTAAATGGAAATTTTTTTTTTAATAAAATATTAATAAATATTTTTTACTTCAATAGGCAAAGTAATCCTTTAATGCCGGCAGTAGCTCCAGCAGTTAAAACAATATTATTCCAATCAGCTTTAATACCACCATCACGTCTTTCAATATAATCAGCAACTTGATGACGTATCAATTCAATACCGCATGAATCAGTATATGAACCAAATGAATTACCAGCACTAGCTGCTAATAAATCTCTGGCACGTTTTTTTGCATCCTCAGGGAAATCACCTGAATCTAATAAAGCTGGTTGTGTTACTAAAGCCAATACCTAAAAAAAAATATAAAATTATTGTAAGACTTAAAAAATAACAAATGGAAATTTCTGCATGTTTTTCAAAAATTTTAATTAAAGACGATTTTATTATACTTACTTGTCTTAAGAAAGTGATTGGCTTTTGACCCATAGCATGAGCATCACCGATATTTGCACGAATTACTTGATTGAAAGGCTTTTTCTTGCCCTATAAATAGAAAATTGTAAAAAAAAAAATTATTAATTTAAAATTTTTTAAATCTCATAAATTTTTATTAATTTTTTCAGTTGCTAATTATTTTCCGAAGGAAATTACAATAGAACAAATGAATTGAACACCTTAAGGTTATCGTTTCCATTATCCTTAATTATTCAAATTGAATTTAACAATTAAAATAGAAGAACAAAATCCTTGACAATTTTAAATTTGAACAAAAACTTAATTGAATAGAAAACAATTCTCCTTTCAATATGAAAAAAAATTTTATTCTAAAGTTCTAAATTACAAAATAACCCTTTATTTATATCAGTTATCAAAATTATCCTTGCATATATTTTTTGAAATGCATACATACATAACTCAATATTCATCTTATAGCCTTTCATATTCCTCCTACACATTAAAAATAACGAAGAAATACGTGTCAAAGGCTCTGGTTTTGTAAGATAAAATTCTTGAAGTCAAAAAACAGTTTTTCAAATTCTTAATGATACTTAGACTGTACTCAAATAATTCACCTGATAATTAAACAAAAAAAAATAGTAGGTTAATAAATCATGTCCCCGTTGATACAAAATCGCTGATTAATGATTTTATTAAGAGCTCATTTTTTAATAGTAAAATCAATATTATAAATACCATTATTTCAATATTTACTTAATACATCCAATAATTTACACTAAAATCTATAACATAATTATATATTTGTAAGTATATATATTTGTATGTGCACGTGTTATGTATACATCATTAAATACATACAAAGATGCAATTCAATTTAGTGTCTATAGAACACATTTTTTCATTGAATATTATTTTGATAATACAAACTTTCTCTTGGAAATATTCAAGGACAAACATACAAGTTGATTCATTTTAATATTTTCCATACATAAATATGTATATGTGTACATATGTGTTAATGGAGGAGCTTGTAAAATAACAAATAAAAAAAACTTGTAACAAGTTAAAGATCAATTTGAAATTGTTGTTCGACTGATTTTGTTACGATTGTTTATGCTTCATTTCACTACAAATGTATAACACTTTATAATATACCTGTATAACACTGCCAACGGCATGTCTGCATAATGCATCCCATCATATTCAAAGAGAAAAAGAACATAGTTACGTAGAATTATTCCGGTAGATGGCTTTATATATTTTTTTTTTTTAAAGAAAATAAAGATCAATTCTTTGGCATTAAAATTTATAAGACAATTTTTATTGCTCCGTAATAAAATTTTCATAGAAAACAGCATTTCGTTTACAAACAACTCTCAATTCATAAGGAGTAGACTATTAATTAGGTCGCATGCGTTTAGTACCAAAGCATTATTTTAATTTTTAAACTAGTATAACAATAACGTTAATGACAATTTGAACAAATGTAAAATATTGACAATTTAACATGTTAACACTGTTAATATAGATTGTAGTGTGGCACACTCTGTGCATATTTTTGAGTATAAGCAAGAGGGCATGTAAGACTAAAAAAAAATCTCTTTTAATAACTACAACTACTATTACAGTAAAAAATAAAATAAAAAAAAATATACGAAAAAAAAATTATTTTTAGTCAACAATGAGAAGAGAAGAGCTTTTACATAGAGAATATAGTAGGAAATTAAAGCCCTTAAGAGATGCTAAAAAAAGGAACGAATGATATAGAAATCGAGAAAATTTTCTTATTTATACGTAATATATAGAAATATATGTATGTATTTTTCTCCTTCCTTACTGAAATAATACTAAAAGGATATTATATAACATGCACTTGTTCCTTTCCAAGAATTGTGAATATTGTTAACATAAAAAACAGGATTATTGTAATTTCTTTTCGTTTCAGATTTTTCAGATTTTACAGATTTTTCAAGTATTAATTTTTTTTTACATTGAACATATAAAAATTATGATTTATATTAGGTGCACATACTGTTTGATAAAATGAAAAATATGAATTTGAGTACCAGAGTTCATATACCTTAAATATAGGATGGGATTTGTTGTCTTTATGATAAAACATTAAAATTATCATTATTTAAAGTAACATAATTTAAATATCAAGGATATTAAGATAGAATTAAGAACATAGAGTAGAATTATGATTAAAATAATTCGATATAACAGTAAGTACAATATATTGTTCAAAATCTAAACCTACCCATAATTATTTTTGAAAGAAAATTTTTAAATTTAAGTACAACAAATATTTATTAAGAGCCGCAATTAAACACAGTACATGTGGAACACATATTGTGGCATTCGAACGCAACATATATCCCCCGAAGCACAATATGAGGCACTCAATGTAATATTGGCCTATCCAACATTTTTGCAAAAATGAATTATTATGTTCAATAGAGCTGTAATGGTCTAAAGAATTAGTTTACTCCTATTTTTACTCTATTTCGACATAAGTTTGTTTTTACCTTTTAAAAATTTTCTTAAAAACTAAATATTTGAATATTTCAATCGCAAGTAGGCCACTAATGCACTGAACGCCTCATAATATCGTTGCACACTTTTGCCTTTACTTGTTGATGTATTGAAATTTTAGATTTTGTTATACAATAATTAATAATCTTGTGCCAATACATTCATAAATACATAAATAATAATAAAATCTCCAAAAAAAAATCATGTTTGTAAAAGTAACAGCAGTATCGAGTTCGTGTAGCAAATTTATTAGATTAATTTTCAATTTGACTTTAAGTTGACATTTATAATCATTAATAGTAACAGACTAATTAAAAATTTTTTTTAAATTTTTTAGAAAAAACTACTGGTATATTTAAAATTTTCGTATAAATTCCTCTTTTAAGACTATGACGAAAAACTGCCTTTGCTTTGAAATAAAGGCTATTCGCCAACTTATATGAATTATTTGACTGACTACAAAATTAGATTTTTTGTCGCTGATCTTTTGAAAGAAAATATTGGCAGTACTAAAGCAGTGTGTACATATGTATTACTGTTTATAATAAAAATAATGAAAAGCGCTGTATTGAATTTTATAAGGAGAACAAATTTTAATTAAGAAAAATACAATTATATGAAATGCAAATTGAAAAACGTGTTAAAAATGAAAACTATAGGGAAAAATTGAACTAAAGAAAATTTTGTACTGTTCCACCTCTGTGAAAAACTTTATTACATAACATGTAACATTGAATAGTTCAAGACGAATGTAGGCAAGTTTAACCCATTTTTGGTTTCAAAATGAGATTCTTCATCTTAACTTTAATGGAAATTTCTTCATACAACTGCAGAACAGATGGATGACGTAATCAAAGGAACGAGTTAAATGACAGAACCAGTGATCTACCGCTTTATAGACGGATGCTCTACCAACTGACTCTTCATATTTAAACCATCGCAAGGGTTATTTTTTTATACCCTGCACTTCGTGAAAGGTATATTAACTTTGGTATGGAGTTTGTAAGTACTTGAAGGAGTCATCCAGTATGGACATATATATATATTCTTGCTCAGCGTAAAATTCTGCGTCGATTTAGACATGTCCGTCTGTCCGTCCGTCCGTCCGTCCGTCCGATGGCACGATAACTCAAAAACGAATAATGCAATCGACACCAAACTTTCACTTTTTTCTTTTGTGCCAATTACGAGTCCTATTGTTATTGGACTAATTCGGACAACGGGTTCGGTTAGCTGCCGTACAACTCAAAGAGTTTATTTTAAATATTTTAAAAATTAATAAAGCTATAAATATGAAATTTGGTATACATGTGTCCAATTATATTCTACACATGCTCTAAAAATTATAATGGGATAGCTGCACCGGTTCGGGTGGCTGCCATACAACTCCAACAGCAAATTTTTTATATTCGGAAAAATAATAAAGTCAGATTCATGAAACTTGGCAGTCATGTGTCGAATTATAGGTCAAATATATTTCTGAAGTTTTAGAGGAATTGCTTGACAGATTCGGGTACCTGCCATACAACTCCAGAAGCTAATTTTAAATATTTGGAAAAATAATATAGTCAGATACATGAAACTTGACAGTTGTGTATCGAGTTATAGGCCTGATATATTTCTGAAGTTTTGGTGGAATTGCTTGACAGGTTCGAGTAGCTCCCCTACAACTCTAAAAGCTTATTTTAAATATTTGGAAAAATAATAAAGTCAGATTCATGAAACTTGGCAGCCATGTGTCCAATTATAGGTCAGATATATTTCTGCAGTTTTGATGGAATTACTTGACAGGTTCGGGTACTTGCCATACAACTCCAAAAGCTTATTTTAAATATTTGAAAAAATAATAAAGTCAGATTCATGAAACTTGGCAGTTGTGTGTCGAGTTATAAATCAGACATATCCGTGAAATCTCTATAAAATGGTTTCACAGGTTTGAGTAATTGCTATACAACAACGAAAGGTGCAGGGTATAATTCAATCGGTTTATACCGACTGAAACGTTTTTACTTGTTAATATTAATTTAAGTCATTCTCACATTGAAGTTTACTATTCTCATTTCTAAACTAAACTGGTATAGAACAGTAAGTAAATTGGTATATTGCCCAATAATTTTGTAATTTTATACTTTTAATATATTAAATTTCAAATAATGCAAATAATATTTTTGATAAAAATCAAAATTCATTTAAAAATTACTAAAAATAAATTCCAAAACCACAAATTATTTAATCATTTTGCATGTAAACACTAAATCAAGAACCTAATGTATAGATACTATTCAATTTCAAATAAGAATAATGTTATAAAATAAATATTATACTTTTAGTAAGAAAGTGAGATTTTTACATAATATGTATACGAGTATATGCCTATAAGTATATACAGTGCCAACTATACTTATACACACGATAATTATTGATCTAATTTTGTAAAAGAAAAATATGAAAAAATATTTTTTGAAAGTTACTTCAATGTCAATGATATTAAATTTTATTTAAGTTACGTTTGATTTATTATATACATATTTATGTATGTATGGAGACGT